CGCGTCTCATAACCGCTTGAGGGCGCACTTCAGCGTACCGCACGGGCTACACATCCCCCCTCCTAAACGTGTTGCAGCGTCCCGATGCAACTCTTCCTTGCAGTGAGGAACGTAGGAATAATAAATTCTGGGATCCAGTGACTCCAAACACCTGCCTGCAACTGATGAGTCACTGGCTGGCCAAGCACTTCGTAAGTGAACCGCCTTGGGGGTCTCCGCTCTCTTGAGGGTCGGGACCCATTCACCTCACTCTCACTGCTGGGTCCTGTAGTAGCAGTTTCCCTAGAGAGATCCCCAGCAGGGATATACATTCCTGGTACAGGAACCTCTGCTTCAGGCAAACTACTTGCATCTGGAGAGCCACAGGTGCCAACTTCAACTTCGGCACCGATGTCTACCTCGCTACCGAACTGGGGTGTCAGTTCGTCAGCTTCGGGAAGACTATCGAGTATAGGGCTGGGACACTCACTCTGGGTCGCACTTTTGTCTGTCGATAGTGGCAAGTGGCTTTCTTCAGCCATCATACTAGGCTCTGCCTCCAAGTGGCAGTTATCTGGATTACCAAACTCATCTGGTATTTTGCTAGCCCAGGTTACTGGTTTAGGTTGCAGCTTTGTCTCACTCAGGTCATCGGGAGGGAGCTCTGCACCACTTTCTCGTGATGATGTCTCATCAGGTCCAAGATCAACAGACATGTCCTTTAAACCAGATGGACTGGGAACAAATGCCTCAGCATCAGGATCCAACTGGTTTGGACAAGGAGGTATGTCTCTCTGTCCCGTGTCATGTACGGTGAGAATCCCACTGTCCTGCTCATCCGGATGTTCCTCTGTAGTTCTTTCCACCTCGTGATCACCCACAGGCAGTGGTGATACCGGATCGTCAACTTGGTCACGGGGCCAGACAGTAATGATATTGTGATCCTCATGGTCAGAGCCATAATCATCACTGTCGCTACCGTCATCTGGGGACGACGGAAGGCATGAGGAAGATTTCTGCTTCACTCGCTGTCTTGTCATTGGCTTCTCTGGGGGTTTCGTAACCGATGGAGAAGTGTCCTCTCCAGTTAGAGTTCCGATGGGTAGCAACATATTGCGATGCAGTGTTTTTACTGCACCATCCCCTGTCTCTGGCTTCACTCTGTAAACTGGTATACTGTCATTCGGACGACCCACAACACAGTACACAGTGTCACTCCACCTATCAGCTAGCTTGTGAGGACCCTTGAAACCGACATTGCGAACAAGTACTCTGTCGCCAGGCTGTAACTCACTGCCCCTCACTTTTAGGTCATAGCGTTGTTTGTTCGCTGCTGCCACTTTGGCCGACTCTTTTGCCGCCAAGTTGTAGGCATCTTCCAAGCTGTGCCTGAGCTCAGATACATATTTGGTATGGTCCTTATTGTTGACACTGTCGGGCGTAGTCCCAAAACTAATATCAAGAGGCAGCCTTGCCTCTCGCCCGAACATGATATAATAAGGCGAGTATCCAGTACTGGAATTCCGAGTTGAGTTGTACGCATGCACCAAGGGTGTAACAAACTTACCCCAGGTTTCCTTCTTATTTTGGGGAAGGGTGCCAAGCATGCTTATCAAAGTACGGTTGAACCGTTCTGGCTGTGGATCCCCTTGTGGGTGGTATGGGGAAGTTCGTGATTTCTTTATCCCCAAGAGACTTGTTAGCTCTTTGATGAGGTTATTGTCAAATTCTCGGCCTTGATCTGAGTGAATACGCCTTGGCAGACCATAGTGGAGGAAGTATCGCTCCCAAAGTATCTTAGCAACAGTGCGTGATGATTTGTCTTTCGTGGGAAAGGCTTGTGCATAACGGGAGAAATGGTCAGTAGCAACAAGAATGTACTGGTGGCCACTGCGGTCTGGTTCCAACTTTAAGAAATCGATGCAGACTAAATCCAGGGGATATGTCGTCTTGATATTTACCAGGGGAGCAGCCACTTTTTGGTTTGTCTTGAAAGACACACATCGTGCACAGTTGGAAACCCACTTCTCAATGCGAGCCGCCATCTTCGGCCAATAGAACCGTTGACGTGCCAAGGCCACAACTCGTTCAGCACCCAAATGACCCAAGTCATTATGGAGTCCGATGATAGCCTTCTCTCTGAAATGGACAGGTAGCACCAACTGCAACAACTCTTTCCCCTTTACATCAAGAACTCGACGATACAATACTCGCTCTCGTAGGACAAGTCGAGAAAACTGGCCCAACATCAGCCGAACTTCCTCAGGCAAGGTTGAGATCTGCTTAGGCTTCTTGCCCGCCAGAACAAATTCTACAACCTGCTTGATGTGTTCATCCACAGCCTGTTCGTTTTCCCAATTTACAGCATCTCCTTCAACAGTCGTTGCCTTACCAAAACCTGCATATTCTGCAGGGATAGCCTCGGCACTCAAGGCCATCGAGTAGATGAGGGGGCCTGGTTCCACATCAGTAGTATCCGGAACATTTCGTCCCGAGGCATCCAAGAGATGCTGGGAGGAAATAGCATCAACCATCTCCTCACTGAGAGTTGGTGTAGGCTCCTCTACCTCACCCTGAAGTCGTGCCTCCAGGATATGCATCTTTTCTACCTGATCCCTCTCTGAAGACTGCAAGAATGCATCACTGTGTGGTCGTCGAGAAAGAGCGTCCGCATCTTTGTTACAACGACCGGGCTTGTAGTGGATTGTAAAGTCGTAGGTTGTTAGAGCTGCCAACCACCGATGCCCTGTGGCGTCCAACTTGGCAGACGAAAGGATATATGTTAGTGGGTTATTGTCAGTGAATACCCGGGTTCCTTTGGCTGCATACAAGTAATCCTTGAACTTGTCTACGATGGCCCACTTAAGAGCCAAAAACTCAAGTTTGTGTGCTGGGTAATTTTTCTCCGACGGATTCAGTCCACGGCTGGCGTAAGCAACTGGTCTCAGCTTACCATCAGACTCCTGGCAAAGAATGGCACCAAGACCATCCCTACTTGCGTCCACATGCAGTACAAAGGGCCGACTCATATCCGCAAAGGCCAAAACTGGTGCTGAACATAGCTTGTCCTTTAACTCCTGAAATGCCTGCTGGCACTCAGGTGTCCATCTTTCTGCGAATACCACTTTCAAACCCCTGCTCGTATCCTTACTACAGGTCTGACGCTTGGGACAGCTCTTACTTTGTAGCGCAGCGGCCAACTCATGTAAGGGTTTGGCAATCTTGGCATATCCATCAATAAATCGGCGATAATATCCAGCCATTCCAAGAAAAGACCGCAATTGTCTTGCATCAGCCGGGGGTGGCCATGACTTGATCGCCTCCACCTTCTGTTGGTCTGTTCTTACACCTTCTTCTGAAACTACATGTCCAAGATATTTGACAGATGTACCACACAGCTGACACTTTTCAGGAGCAATCTTTAGCCCATATTTGGCCAACCGATCAAACACTCTGGCCAAACGCTTCTCCATCTCCTCTAAAGTGGGAGCAAAGATGATGATGTCATCCATGTACACAAGTACCTCTGCCAAGTTCAGGCCTGCCATACATCTTTCCATGAGTCTTTGGAAAGTGGCCGGCGCCCCTTTGACACCCTGAGGCATCCGCTCAAACTGGAAAAATCCGGCCGGGCAGATGAAAGCTGTCTTGTCCTTGTCGGTAGGTTTCATCGGTATTTGGTAGTACCCCGACTTGAGGTCGATCACAGAAAACCACCTGCACCCATGTAAACAGTCCAGAGCCTCCTGTACGATGGGAACCACGTACTGATCAGGTACAGTTCTGGAGTTCAGAGTACGATAGTCCACACACAGACGCATCTGTCCGCTCTTCTTTCGTACAATGACTATGGGTGAGGCATATCGGCTTTTGGACTCTGTGATCACCCCAATGTCTAGTAGATGCTGAAGATGGTCTCGCAAGTCCCGCAAATCAGATGGAGCTACACGACGTGACCTTTCCCGGAAAGGAGACTCATCAGTGAGCCTGATGTCATGATGGATTTCGTTTGTCAAACCAACATCCCACTCATGGCTGGAGAAGATTTCTGATCGACCATAGGCCAATTTGAGAATTCTGTCTCTCCATTGAGTGTCTATGGGACCCCAAACAAATGGTAGTTTTCTAAACTCCTTTTCTGTAATCTGGGAAGACTCTTGTCTCTGGGTTGGGTTCATGTCAGTGGTGGCACTAGTCGTCCTCATCTGGGCTGGTGCCGCTGCTGAGGAGATGGAACTTCCACACAAATCAGGCTGCACACTACTCACTGACACTGGCAGGGATGCTTCAGCCAAAACACAGTTCCTTTGCAAATGCAGGTCCACATCAGTCTGATTCTGCACGCAGACCTTCACCTTTTGGAAACCATTCCCAATCTGTGCTAAAGAGCAAACAGTGTTGATACCGGTAGGCATTTTACGCAGGTGAGGAGCATCTAGCAACACAGTCACTGGCCTCCCCAATCCATTTCGAACAGTGCCCGAGATGTACTTCTGAGAGTTGGCAGGGACTGTCACCTGATTTCGAGTACGACATGTTACCAATCCAACCTTTCCCGCTGGTCCTGCCCTCTGTGAAACTTCAAAATCCTCATAGATTCGCCTACATGCCGCACTGATGACAGAGCCACCGCACTCTTTCCCTTTCTGCAGGTCAAAAAGATGTTGGTAGCAACCACGGAAAGCTCCAGAATTTGTACCCACAACTAGTTGGTACGGTGTTGCACCACGGCAGTCAGGGACAACTAAAGCCAGGGTGGAGGATGACCGACTTGTGCCACAGAATGCTGGATCAAAACCAATAGTCACCTTGGTCCAACCTAAATACGGTATCTGTCCCCCTCCACCATGCCAAAGCACTAGATCTTCAATCGGAAACAAGGGCTTATTCAGGCGTCGAAAGAAACCTTCGTATATTAAGGTGACTTGCGACCCCGAATCCAACAAACACTTGGCCCAGTTCCCATCAATGCAGCAATCCTCTACCATGTCTCCTCCAACTAGTCCCTTAGGTATGTCAGTTCCAGTGTGGTAATTAACACCAGGCCTTAATTCACGGGCTTGGGCTTCTGGCTGGCCCCCTCCAGTCGCCCCTTGGCGTTTCCCTGCAGGAAAGCAATAAGTTGGCTATTTACCTTCTGCAAGTTCTCAGGTTTCTCGCATTTTGTCTTGTAGTGGCCCTCTTCACCACACCGGTAGCAGAATCTTGGGCGTGCTTCATTTTGCTTACGCTTGATTGGTCTCTCAGCAACTTGCGTCCGACTCTTGGCCTGTTTAGGGTCTGCCGGGAACACACCCACATCTCCTTCTCCTCTTCGGCTCATCTTAGCCTGTTGTTCTGCTTCCTCTCTCCTTACCATCTGCAGCAACGTCAGGTAAGAGGGAGGATTTTTCTTGAGATCCTTCAACCTCAAATTCACCAGAAGAATTTCGTCGAAGAGCACCCCCTTTGCAAACTGCTCAATGAGAAGTGAGCTTGACTTCTCCCTTTGGGCTGCACCTTTTCGAACCAATTTCCTCAGTATACCCTGTAGTCGCGTGAGAAACTCTGAAGGCGATTCACCACGATGTTGGTGTGTAGAGTGAAAGAGAACGCTCAGCTCCTCAGGTGACTCTGTACTTCCGAATGCTAGCTCCAAGGCAGCAAGGTATTCATCAGCTGTCGCCTGAGGGCACTCTCGGCGGAGGTCGGTGATGATACTGGCAGCAGGGGGACGGAGAGCCTCCCTCAAGCGTCGCCTCTTCTCACAATCTTCGGGTTCCTCCTCAAGTTGCCCCTGCACAAGTTCAATCCAGGTATCGAAACTGTCCTCGTCCTTGGCTGGAGTCTTAAGACCAGAGAAAGGACGCAGTTTCCGTCCGCCAACAGTGCACAAAGACATGGCGTGGCTCAAGGAACTCCTGGACGTCTCTCTTGTCGGGGGTTCGGATGTACCCTGATTCTCCATAATATCCTTAACCAAGACTCGACTCTTGAAGTTTGTAGTGGTGTTCAAACGGTATATTCGCAGAAACACTTCCCCGCCGTCAACAGAGACATTAAAAGTGCCTGAAAGAGGGAGGGTCACTTCACCAACCTCACATTCAAACTCACACAGAAGATTGGTCTTTCCTCGCCACTCCTGACGGGACACACCCACTAGGCGGTTAACCTTCTTAGCCAGGCCTTTGGTAATTGACTCTGTCGAAAAAGACAACGGTTTCTCACTGCAAAGAAGAAGAGCGCAAGCCGATCGAACATCGTCTTTCTTGCACCAATCGCGCCCAAACTGCAAGATATCGCTACTGTCCGCCATGTTTCGCACAAAATTTCAACGCGCGTACAAAAAAACCGTAAACAAAAATGCACTCTGCTAAAAACCTACCACAAGAAAAATACCAATTCTCAGCTTATGGCTCTCAAAATAATCCTTCTAAAGCAACGGTCAGTGTTGGTGATCTATCCATCAATCTGACACCAGAATAAAAATGTGTGTGCCCTGTTGCTTATTTCCAACAGAGAAACAGAGCAAGCCCCTTTAAATATTTATCTACGAGGTCCTGGCAAGATCGCCATGAAATGTAAGCCACATGGACCACATTGGGGTCAACACACCTTGGGTCAGACAAATGAACAAACCACTACTTAGTCTATAAATTGTACTGAACTAGAAAATCTTTAATTTGAAAACTTGGACGGAACTCTAGATCAAAAATCTATAACACCAGCGCTGATGATGATAATCAAGAAAAACTTTAAGTAGGCCTACATGTAAATGTTTAGGTCAACAATGACACTTTATGAATAAACAACCATTTATCTTTCTGACAAAAACAAAATACCGGTATACAGACAATATTAGGGCCCTAAATATATTCTAACAAGGATATTTGAGACTCTTGATGTCACTCTAAGGCTATCAAGTCCCAATCCAAAAATGTTGATTGACTAGTCAGTTCAGTTCTCTTCACTTCGTGGAGTTCCGGCGAAAACCACAGTTCAACGTCACTGTATACGCTACACAGTAAACGGTTCCTTCACAAGATCCCTCCTGCTTGGAGATAGACTGTTGTGAGGGATGCTCCCACGGTAGTTCACCTTATGCAGACAGCATACATGTACATGTAATTCCTGTCCTTGTGAAGATTGTAACATGTGTAAACTCACATGTGGCCAGTCCAGTCACCAACGGCTTGATCCACTCAAGATGTGGAGCAGAGTTCCAGACTGTGACTGTCCAGGCAGCAAAAATACGGATCAATGTTAATCCCCAAAATATCAGGGTACACCTGAGAGTAAAAGAAAGGCAAAATATGTACCTTTAACAAAAGGCTTGTGTCTCTACACAAAGCAATTTATCTTAGGGGGTCAAAGCAGACGGTAGATCAAATAATCCACCCAACTTCTAGCATCAATACACTTTAAACTTGTTCAATTTGTAACACAACTCAACATGTCACTTAATTTGAATCATCCCAGTATGCTGAGGTTTCATTAATACGGAAAGGTATATTGGTCACAAGATCAATTATTTCTTCTAGATGCATTAAAACTGGCTCCCGATTTAAACAATTCACATTTGTTTCTGTAACGTTAATTTCAACATCAATTATCAACACAACTTATCATCAAAAATCACCCCAAATGTTATAATCATCCCATTATCCTTCACTTATTCTCACCTGAGAGCCACAAGCTGTAGGATTTCAATCAATGTCAAACTAACAGTTGACTTTTAGCAAGAATCTTGGCATTTCACTGCGGGAATTTCGCCAAAACATGTGCGAACATGGCGCCTTCCATGGTTACAGTACACGCGCGTCTCATAACCGCTTGAGGGCGCACTTCAGCGTACCGCACGGGCTACACTACAACACTGAAAAAATTTGGCTTATTTGGTCACCTAATGTGGACACTTTCACGAAGGACTCATGCTGGGCGACTTTCTCTTTAACGGATATTTTCGGCGACACTTCAGAAGCAGACTCCGGTGACGAAAGATCAGAGCTAGATGTCGTCGCTTCGTCGTTTCCAGTTGCTTGACGGGATGCGTTGCCGGTGGTAGGGCTACCCGCTACGGAGATCGATGTAGGCTTTGGTGCTGCCAAGCATAAAGAACGTGTTTCTTTCTTAAAGAATGTGTTTCTTTCTTTTTGAGGACCTGATGTGATTGTGTTTTAAAGTCACTCATTCAAAATCAAAAATCATCAATAAAAACAACTTTGTAGAGACGTTCTTCGCGGAAGTGGTCTCGCAATGAATTTTAAACATTGAAATTTCATTTCTACAAGTTTGTTGGTAAACAGAGAAAAATGACTGAGATAATTTAATGGAATACGGATATTCTCTATTGTCATCCTGTCAAGAAAATAAAACAACTGATGTTGATATTATTTCCAAAATGAAAACACAAAACAGTTTGCAATCATTTGGCAATGATACCTACTTGTGGTGGTAACATTCAGGTCATTTCCAGACGAAGTTTCAAGATGGCGATGCTCCTTTTCGTTGTTGTTGGGAGACATTTCTTGAGGATCTGCATTGTTCCAGAACAAAAGTGTTCACTTTTCCTTTTTACCAATTATTACTGAGACAGTAAAGAGTTTAGCTTCAAGAAATATAACAATAACAATTATTGCAACGCGTAGATGGTGAAGGGTTTCAAGTCTTCCAATACAACAAATGTATTAGTACTGAAGCATTTGATAAAAGACAGAAGGGCATCCTATCTGGCTAAAAAAACAAAAAAACAAAAGTATTGGAGTAGCACTCGAGTACTAGTACCGAGTTCGAGTACTACAACATTGAAAAAATGTGGCGTATTTGGTCACCTGCTGTGGACACTTCCACGAAGTTCTCATGCTGGGTGACTTTCTCTTTAACGGATATTTTCGGCGACACTTCAGAAGCAGACTCCGGTAACGAAAGATCAGAGCTAGATGTCGTTGCTTCCTCGTTTCCAGTTGCTTGACGGGATGCGTTGCCGGTGGTAGGGCCACCCGCTACGGGAATCGATGTAGGCTTTGATGCTGCCAAGCATAAAGAACGTGTTTCTTTCTTAAAGAATGTGTTTCTTTCTTTTTGAGGACATGATGTGATTGTGTTTTAAAATCACTCATTAAAAAATTCAATTATCAAAAAACAATTATTGTAACGCGTAGATTGTGAAGGGTTTTAAGTCTTCCAATACAACAAATGTATTAGTACTGAAGCATTGGATAAAAGACAGAAAGACTCAGATGTGGCAAAAAAACCCCAAAAAGTACTTGAATAACACTCGAGTTCGAGTACGAGTACTACAACACTGAAAAATGTGGCTTATTTGGTCACCTGCTGTGGACACTTTCACGAAGGACTCATGCTGGGCGACTTTCTCTTTAACGGATGTTTTCGGCGACACTACAGAAGCAGACTCCGGTGACGAAAGATCAGAGCTAGATGTCGTCGCTTCCTCGTTTCCAGTTGCTTGACGGGATGCGTTGCCGGTGGTAGGGCTACCCGCTAAGGGGATCGATGTAGGCGTTGGTGCTGCCAAGCATTAAGAACGTGTTTCTTTTTTAAAGAATGTGTTTCTTTCTTTTTGAGGACCTGATGTGATTGTGTTTTAAAGTCACATATTCAAAAAAATCATGAATAAAAACAACTTTGTATCAAATCAAATCAAAATTAAATAATCTTTATTATATCCCACTGGGGTAATTTAAAATGCTCGCATACAGTAACAACATCGACACATTATAAAATACAGTTACATATACAATTGCACGAACAATAAAAACCGGTGAACAATCAAAAAGAAAAAAAAATCCTTATATTATACAAATAACGAATGTTTGTGAGTGCGATGGTAAGAATAATTTCATGAGGTGACAGATTGAATGTTCTATTCCACGAGGCGAAGCCGAGTGGAATAGAACATTCAATCTGTCACCGAATGAAATTATTCTTTCCATCGCACGAACGTAAAACATTCGTTATTTGTTTTATACAACACCTAAATAAATTCTCGTCATTTGATTGGTAAATTAAAAACTACAATTTATTTTGATTTTAAAGATGTTGAACTAACCCTTCACGAAAATGTTTGAACCCAACGCTGTAGCGCTGGCTCTTTGGAACAATACGCGCTACGCTGAACGCGCACACCAGCATGCATTTTGCACGCAAATACCGCGTCATGGAACAAGCGCAAAGTGAAACGGTATAACGCATGGGTATAACGCATGGTCGCACCGTGCATTATACCGAATAATAATATGTCACGTGATCTACAATTCACCAATCAGATGACGGGGATTTATTCAGGTGTTGTATAAAATATCATATTAACGCTGGAACATAAGATTGAGATGTTCTATTGCACGTGGAATGAGGGAGGATGGATGTTGGTTTGTCGCAGCATATGGCACCCGCATACGACCAAACCTTGGGATCAGCTGTTCAGCAAGCCTGTCATGAAGTGGGTGATTTTTGTCATTCAGCAGCATAGTGAGCCTGCCGATCACCCGATCCTCATATGCTGTGTCCACTAACGGCCGCGACTCCCCAAGAATCCTTCCTGCTTGTTTTATAATTCTATCTTTGCGGTCTTTCTCACATTTCCCAACATTTCCACCCCAACATATCAGACAGTAGCCCCAAACACTGGCAACCACAGTGTCATAAAAAGTTGCCAGAATTCTACGATCGACATAGAACGAATTTAGTTTTTTAAGGCAGAAGATGCGAGAATTAATTTTTTTCACAATGAAATCCACATGTTCATGTCAACTCAATTCATTGTCAATTACGACACCCAGATATTTGTAACATGTGACACGTTCTACAACACTGCCTTTCAAGGTAACAGGTTCTGTTAGGCGACGTGACTTCCGACATAGTAGAGACGTGGCACGCGGAAGTGGTCTTGGAATGAATTTTAAAAATTGAAATTTCATTTCTACAATATTGTTCCTATACAGAGAAAAAAATTACTGAGATAGTTTAATGGAATAAGGATATTCTCTATCGTCATCCTGCCAAGAAAACAAACAACCGATGTTGATATTATTTCCAAAATGAAAACACAAAACAATTTGCAATCACTTGGCAATGATACCTACTTGTGGTTGTAACCTTGAAGCCATTTCCAGACCGAGTTCCAAGATGGCGGTGCTCCTTTTTGCCATTGTTGGGAGACATTTTTTGACGATCTGCATTGTTCCAGAACAAAAGTGTTCACTTTTCCTTTTTAACAATTATTACTGAGACAGTAAAGAGATACAGCTTCAAGAACTATAACAATAACAATTATTGCAACGCGTAGATGGTGAAGGGTTTCAAGTCTTTCAATACAACAAATGTATTAGTACTAAAGCATTGGATAAAAGACAGAAGGGCATCAGATGTGGCTAAAAAACTCAAAAAAAGTATTCGAGTAGCACTTGAGTACGAGTACAGAGTACGAGTACTGCAACACTGAAAAAATGTGGGTTATTTGGTCACCTGCTGTGGACACTTTCACGAAGTTCTCATGCTGCATATGCTGGGCGACTCTCTCTTTAACGGATATTTTCGGCGACAGTTTAGAAGCAAACTCCGGTGACGAAAGATTAGAGCTAGAGTTCGTCGTTTCCTCGTTTCTAGTTACTTGACGGGATGCGTTGCCGGTGGTAGGGCCACCCGCTACGGGAATCGATGTAGGCTTTGATGCTGCCAAGCATAAAGAACGTATTTCTTTCTTAAAGAATGTGTTTCTTTCTTTTTGAGGAACTGATGTGATTGTGTTTCAAAATCACTCATTAAAAAAAATCAATTATCAAAAAACAATTACTGCTACGCGTAGATTGTGAAGGGTTTCAAGTTTTCCAATACAACAAATGCATTAGTACTGAAGCATTGGATAAAAGACAGAAGGACATCAGATGTGGCCAAAAAACACCAAAAAAGTACTCGAGTAGCACTCGAGTTCGAGTACGAGTACTACAACACTGAAAAAATGTGGCTTATTTGGTCACCTGCTGTGGACACTTTCACGAAGGACTCATGCTGGGCGACTTTCTCTTTAACGGATATTTTCGGCGACACTTCAGAAGGAGACTCCGGTGACGAAAGATCAGAGCTAGATGTCGTCGCTTTCTCGTTTCTAGTTGCTTGACGGGATGCGTTGCCGGTGGTAGGGCTACCCGCTAAGGAGATCGATGTAGGCTTTGGAGCTGCCAAGCATTAAGAACGTGTTTCTTTCTTAAAGAATGTGTTTCTTACTTTTTGAGGACCTGAGGTAATTGTGTTTTAAAGTCACTCATTCAAAAAAAAAAAATCATGAAGCAAAACAACTTTGTAGAGACGTGCTACGCGGAAGTGGTCTCGGAATGAATTTTAAACATTGAAATTTCATTTCTACAAGATTGTTGGTAAACAGAGAAAAAATGACTGAGATAATTTAATGGAATACGGATATTCTCTATAAGTGTCATTCTGTCAAGAAAACAAACACCAGTTGTTGATATTATTTCCAAAATGAAAACACAAAACCATCTGAAATCATTTGGCAATGATTATAATGGTAACCTTCAGGTCATTTCCAGACGAAGTTCCAAGGTGGCGATGCTCCTTTTCGCCATTGTTGGGAAACATTTTTTGAGGATCTCCATTGTTCCTGAACAAAAGTGTTCAATTTTTCTTTTTGAACAATTATTACTGAGAAAGTGAAGAGGTTTAGCTTCAAGAAATATAACAACAATTATTGAAACTTGTAGATGGTGTAGGGTTCCAAGTCTTACAATACAACAAATTTATTAGTACTGAAGCATTGGACATAAGACAGAAGGACATCATATCTGGCTAAAAAACTATAAAAAAAAATACTGGAGTAGCACTCGAGTACGAGTACCGAGTACGAGTATTAGTACTGAAAAAAATGTGGCTTATTTGGTTACCTGCTGTGGGCACTCTCATGAAGTTCTCATGCTGGGTGACTTTCTCTTTCATGGATAGTTTCGGCGACACTTCAGAAGCAGACTCTGGTGACGAAAGATTAGAGCTAGATGTCGTCGCTTCCTCGTTTCCAGTTGCTTGACGGGATGCGTTGCCGGTGGTAGGGCTACCCGCTACGGAGATCGATGTAGGCTTTGGTGCTGCCAAGCATAAAGAACGTGTTTCTTTCTTAAAGAATGTGTTTCTTTCTTTTTGAGGACCTGATGTTATTGTGTTTTAAAGTCATTCAAAAACAAAAATCATCAATAAAAACAACTTTGTAGAGACGTTTTTCGCGGAAGTGGTCTCGCAATGAATTTTAAACATTGAAATTTCATTTCTACAAGTTTGTTGGTCAACAGAGAAAAATGACTGAGATAATTTAATGGAATACGGATATTCTCTATTGTCATCCTGTCAAGAAAACAAACAACCGATGTTGATATTATTTCCAAAATGAAAACACAAAACAGTTTGCAATCATTTGGCAATGATACCTACTTGTGGTGGTAACATTCAGGTCATTTCCAGACGAAGTTCCAAGGTGGCGATGCTCCTTTTCGTTATTGTTGGGAGACATTTCTTGAGGATCTGCATTGTTCCAGAACAAAAGTGTTCACTTTTCCTTTTTAACAATTATTACTGAGACAGTAAAGAGATTTAGATTCAAGAAATATAACAATAACAATTATTGCAACGCGTAGATGGTGAAGGGTTTCAAGTCTTCCAATAAAACAAATGTATTAGTACTGAAGCATTTGATAAAAGACAGAAGGGCATCATATCTGGCTAAAAAACAAAAAAAAAGTATTGGAGTAGCACTCGAGTACAATTACCTAGTACGAGTACTACAACACTGATAAAAAAATGTGGCGTATTTGGTCACCTGCTGTTGGACACTTTCAAGAAGTTCTTAGGCTGGGTGACTTTCTCTTTAACGGATATTTCCGGCGACACTTCAGAAGCAGACTCCGGTGACGAAAGATTAGAGCTAGATGTCGTCGCTTCCTCGTTTCTAGTTGCTTGACGGGATGCGTTGCCGGTGGTAGGGCTACCCGCTAAGGGGATCGATGTAGGCTTTGGTTCTGCCAAGCATTAAGAACGTGTTTCTTTCTTAAAGAATGTGTTTCTTTCTTTTTGAGGACCTGATGTGATTATGTTTTAAAGTCACTCATTCAAAAAAAAAATCATAAATAAAAACCACTTTGAAGAGACGTGCTACGCGGAAGTGGTCTCGGAATGAATTTTAAACATTGAAATTTCATTTCTACAAGATTGTTGGTATACAGAGCAAAAATGACTGAGATAATTTAATGGAATACGGATATTCTCTATTGTCATCCTGTCAAGAAAACAAACAACCGATGTTGATATTATTTCCAAAATAAAAACATAGAACAATTTGCAATCATTTGGCAGTGATACCTACTTGTGGTGGTAACATTCAGGTCATTTACAGACGAAGTTCCAAGGTCATTTTTTAGTACCAGTACTTTGACATTCGAGTACGAGAACGAGTACTCTAAAAACACAAAAAAGTACTGGAGTAGCACTCGAGTTCGATTACCAAGTACGAGTACTTCAACACTGAAAAAATGTGGCTTATTTGGTCACCTGCTGTGGACACTTTCACGAAGTCCTCATGCTGGGTGACTTTCTCTTTACCGGATATTTCCGGCGACACTTCAGAAGCAGACTCCGGTGACGAAAGATTAGAACTAGATGTCGTCGCTTCCTCGTTTCCAGTTGCTTGACGGGATGCGTTGCCGGTGGTAGGGCTACCCGCTAAGGGGATCGATGTAGGCTTTGGTGCTGCCAAGCATTAAGAACGTGTTTCTTTCTTAAAGAATGTGTTTTTTTCTTTTTGACGACCTGATATGATTGTGTTTTAAAGTCACTTATTAAAAAAAAATCATAAATAAAAACAATTTTGAAAAGACGTGCTACTCGGAAGTGGTCTTGGAATGAATTTTAAACATTGAAATTTCATTTCTACAAATTTGTTGGTAAACAGAGAAAAATGACAGAGAAAGTTTAATGGAATAAGGATATTCTCTATTGTCCTCCTGTCAAGAAAACAAACAACCGATGTTGATATTATTTCCAAAATAAAACACAAAACAATTTGCAATCATTTGGCAATGATACCTACTTGTGGTTGTAACATTCAGGTCATTTCCAAACGAAGTTCCAAGGTCATTTTCTAGTACGAGTACTTTGACATTCGACTACGAGAACGAGTACTCTAAAAAACTCAAAAAGTACTGGAGTAGCACTCGAGTACGAGTACCGAGTACGAGTACTTCAACACTGAAAAATAATGTGGCTTATTTGGTCACCTGCTGTGGACACTTTCAAGAAGTTCTCATGCTGAGTGACTTTCTCTTTACCGGATATTTTCGGCGACACTTCAGAAGCAGACTCCGGTGACGAAAGATCAGAGCTAGATGTCGTCGCTTCGTCGTTTCCAGTTGCTTGACGGGATGCGTTGCCGGTGGTAGGGCTACCCGCTACGGAGATCGATGTAGGCTTTGGTGCTGCCAAGCATAAAGAACGTGTTTCTTTCTTAAAGAATGTGTTTCTTTCTTTTTGAGGACCTGATGTGATTGTGTTTTAAAGTCACTCATTCAAAATCAAAAATCATCAATAAAAACAACTTTGTAGAGACGTTCTTCGCGGAAGTGGTCTCGCAATGAATTTTAAACATTGAAATTTCATTTCTACAAGTTTGTTGGTAAACAGAGAAAAATGACTGAGATAATTTAATGGAATACGGATATTCTCTATTGTCATCCTGTCAAGAAAATAAAACAACTGATGTTGATATTATTTCCAAAATGAAAACACAAAACAGTTTGCAATCATTTGGCAATGATACCTACTTGTGGTGGTAACATTCAGGTCATTTCCAGACGAAGTTTCAAGATGGCGATGCTCCTTTTCGTTGTTGTTGGGAGACATTTCTTGAGGATCTGCATTGTTCCAGAACAAAAGTGTTCACTTTTCCTTTTTACCAATTATTACTGAGACAGTAAAGAGTTTAGCTTCAAGAAATATAACAATAACAATTATTGCAACGCGTAGATGGTGAAGGGTTTCAAGTCTTCCAATACAACAAATGTATTAGTACTGAAGCATTTGATAAAAGACAGAAGGGCATCCTATCTGGCTAAAAAAACAAAAAAAAAAAGTATTGGAGTAGCACTCGAGTACTAGTACTGAGTTCGAGTACTACAACATTGAAAAAATGTGGCGTATTTGGTCACCTGCTGTGGACACTTCCACGAAGTTCTCATGCTGGGCGACTTTCTCTTTAACGGATGTTTTCGGCGACACTACAGAAGCAGACTCCGGTGACGAAAGATCAGAGCTAGATGTCGTCGCTTCCTCGTTTCCAGTTGCTTGACGGGATGCGTTGCCGGTGGTAGGGCTACCCGCTAAGGGGATCGATGTAGGCGTTGGTGCTGCCAAGCATTAAGAACGTGTTTCTTTTTTAAAGAATGTGTTTCTTTCTTTTTGAGGACCTGATGTGATCGTGTTTTAAAGTCACTCATTCAAAAAATCATGAATAAAAACAACTTTGTAAAGACGTGCTACGCGGAAGTGGTCTCGGAATGAATTTTAAACATTGAAATTTCATTTCTACAAGATTGTTGGTAAACAGAGAAAAATGACTTAGATAGTTTAATGGAATACGGATATTCTCTATTGTCATCCTGTCAAGAAAACAAACAACCGATGTTGATATTATTTTTAAAATGAAAACACAAAACAATTTGCAATCGTTTGGTAATGATACCTACTTGTGTTGGTAACATTCAGGTCATTTTCAGGCGAAGTTCCAAGGTGGCGATGCTCCTTTTCGCCATTGTTGGGAGACATTTCTTGAGGATCTGCATTGTTCCCGAACAAAAGTGTTCACTTTTCCTTTTGAACAATTATTACTGAGACAGTAAAGAGATTTAGCTTCAAGAAATATAACAATAACAATTATTGCAACGCGTAGATGGTGTAGGGTTCCAAGTCGTCCAATACAACAAATGCGGACGTACTGAAGCATTGAACAAAAGACAGAAGGGCATCATATCTGGCTAAAAAACTCAAATAAGGTACTCGAGGAGCACTCGAGTACGAGCACTGAGTACGAGTACTACATCACTGAACAAAATGTGGCTTATTTGGTCATGAAGTTCGTATGCTGGGTGACTTCCTCTTTAACGGATATTTCCGGCGACACTTCTTAAGCAGACTCCGGTGACGAAAGATCAGAGCTAAATGTCGTCGCTTCCTCGTTTCCAGTTGTTTGACGGGATGCGTTGCCGGTGGTAGGGCTACCCGCTAAGGGGATCGATGTAGGCTTTGGTGCTGCCAAGCATTAAGAACGTGTTTCTTTCTTAAAGAATGTGTTTCTTTCTTTTTGAGGACCTGATGTGATTGTGTTTTTAAGTCACTTATTCAAAAATAATCATCAATAAAAACAATTTGAAAAGACGTGCTACTCGGAAGTGGTCTTGGAATGAATTTTAAACATTGAAATTTCATTTCTACAAGTTTGTTGGTAAACAGAGAAAAATGACTGAGATAGTTTAATGGAATAAGGATATTCTTTATTGTCATCCTGTCAAGAAAACAAACAACCGATGTTGATATTATTTCCAAAATAAAACACAAAACGATTTGCAATCATTTGGCAATGATACCTACTTGTGGTAGTAACATTCAGGTCATTTCCAGACGAAGTTCTAAGGTCATTTTCTAGTACGAGTACTTTGACATTCGACTACGAGAACGAGTACTGTCAAAAACACAAAAAGTACTGGAGTAGCACTCGAGTACGAGTACCGAGTATGAGTACTACAACACTAAAAAATAATGTGGCTTATTTGGTCACCTGCTGTGGACACTTTCACGAAATTCTCATGCTGGGTGACTTTCTCTTTACCGGATATTTCCGGCGACACTTCAGAAGCAGACTCCGGTGGCGAAAGATAAGGGCTAGATGTCGTCGCTTCCTCGTTTCTAGTTACTTGACGGGATGCGTTGCCGGTTGTAGGGCTACCCGCTACGGAGATCGATGTAGGCTTTGGTGCTGCCAAGCATAAAGAACGTGTTTCTTTCTTAAAGAATGTGTTTCTTTCTGTTTGAGGACATGATGTGATTGTGTTTTCAAATCACTCATTCAAAGAACCCCCAAATAATAAATAAAAACAACTTTGTAGAGACGGGCCACGCGGAAGTGGTCTTGGAATGAATTTTAAACATTGAAATTTCATTTCCATAAGATTGTTGGTATGCAGAGAAAAATGACTGAGATAGTTTAATGGAATACGGATATTCTCTATTGTCATCCTGTCAAGAAAACAAACAACCGATGTTGATATTATTTTTAAAATGAAAACACAAAACAATTTGCAATCATTTGGCAATGATACCTACTTGTGGTGGTAACATTCAGGTCATTTTCAGGCGAAGTTCCAAGAGGGCGATGCTCCTTTTCGCCATTGTTGGGAGACATTTCTTGAGGATCTGCAAATTTGTTCCGGAACAAAAGTGTTCACTTTTCCTTTTGAGCAATTATTACTGAGACAGTAAAGAGATTTAACTTCAAGAAATATAACAATAACAATTATTGCAATGCGTAGATGGTGAAGGGTTTCAAGTCCTCTAATACAACAAATGTATTAGTACTAAAGCATTTGATTAAAGACAGAAGGGCAACAGATGCGGCTAAAAAACACAAAAAGTACTTGAATAGCACTCGAGTACGAGTACCGAATACGAGTACTAAAACACTGAAAAAATGTGGCTTATTTGGTCACCTGCTGTGGACACTTTCAAGATGGTCTTATGCTGGGCGACTTTCTCTTTAACGGATATTTTCGGCGACACTTCAGAAGCAGACTTCGGTGACGAAAGATCAGAGCTAGATGTCGTCGCTTCCTCGTTTCTAGTTACTTGACGGGATGCGTTGCCGGTGGTAGGGCTACCCGCTAAGGGGATCGATGTAGGCTTTGGTGCTGCCAAGCATTAAGAACGTGTTTCTTTCTTAAAGAATGTGTTTTTTTTCTTTTTAAGGACCTGATGTAATTGTGTTTTAAAGTCACACATTAAAAGAAAAAACAATCGTAAATAAAACAACTTCGTAGAGACGTGCTACGCGTGGAAGTGGTCTCGGAATGAATTTTAAACATTGAAATTTTATTTGTACAAGATTGTTGGTATACCGAGAAATAATTACTGAGATAGTTTAATGATTAAGCTTCAAGAAATATAACAATAACACTTATTAGTTGGCAATTTAAGTACGTCATTACAGTTTGGAAAAACAAGCAAGAATATAAATTAAAAGCACCCAACCGTTCACCCAACCCCCACGCACGTGTGTATTTGCCTGCAATCGGGAACCCCCTATTGTCCCTCTTTTGTTTGTACCCTAACTTTTTAGGAAGACCTCCCATATGTTTTGTACCTGAATCCAAATTGGGGACCTCTCGGGAATTGGGGACCTTATTGTCCTTTATTGTTCAATGTTTCCTAGTCAATGCAGAAACGAACTCATACATCCAAATGGAGTTATAAATGGTTTTTAACAAGGTAACCCACGAACAAAAGGATAATGTTACAAAGCTTTGTACTTTAGACTACTACGGTTTTATCAATCATTAACTCGATGTAGCAAGCTTTCATTTGTTATCCCGATTGCATTTCTTTGGGTAAATACTACACAAAACGTGATCGGCCGGTTGAAAATAGTTTCCAATTGACCAATTTGGTTTTTAGTTTTAAATTATCCCGAAAATATCCCGCACAAACACACGACCACTCATCGTCTATAACGAACGTCCACAAATACCATTGTCCACATCAACTCCCCCCCCCAAAAAAAAAACCCCCTAAAGAATGAGGCGTATTTGGTTACCTGCGATGGACAACTTCGCTTGAAAGTAAATTGGCGGTAACGTTTCAGAAGCAGGCACCAGAGACGAAATATCGATGCTGTATGTCGTCGCTTCCTCGTTTCTAGTTGCTTGACGGGATGCGTTGCCGGTGGTAGGGCTACCCGCTTCGGGGATCGGTGTAGGCTTTGGTGCTGCCAAGTATTAAAAAACGTATTTCTTTCTTAAAGAAGGTATTTCTTTCTTTCTGAGGAACCTGATGTTATTGTGTGGACACAACTACACATTATGTTGAGTGGTTGGGCACAACCGCCACTGTTTGAAATTGTTAGGATTTATCTTTGTTTGGGTCTTTCTTTTTTCTTCCGGACAATACTGCTGCGCGGGTTTTCTCCTAAACGGTTGATTAAATGGTTCAATCAAGTTCATACGTTGTAATCAGATAGACCATTTATTTGATAAACATTTTTGTTGTGTACGTGAACTCGCTTGACCTTTACTCCCGGGTCAACTGGAAGGTCAACATTTAGGTGAATTTAAAAAAGAGACAGAAGCCTCAAAATCAAACGAACCGAATTTCTCCCAAACGATTAACGGGATTATGAATAAAACCTGGTATGAACTTGAACCCCGTCTGAAGATGTTAAAACAAATCTGACGTCATCATCACGTCATCAGGTATCAAATTACAAGCAATTTAAGGGCCAAATTTCTGAAAATAGTTTCAGCTATTATCTTTAGAACTAATAGAGCATCGTGTTCATTTTTGCGTGAGGTTGTAAATGATGCCTCGGGCAACAATTCTTACTCGGGGGCACAAAACCACTTGACCTTCACTTCGGTAGCGGAAGCTCTTTACTATAAGCAAATGAATTATGCAGTCAGTAGCCGTGTCACGCGTAGCCTCTCTATTTTCTCGTCCACACAACTTACAGCAATGCAAGGCCAGTGAACGATGGCCGTAAATAGGGCTTCAGAAAATTCGCAATTTTCATGGCAAACGACAACCGATCCAAACAAAAAAACTTCATGCATCTATCAAGGTATATTTTCTCCAAAAAAAAAAAGGATTTCGATGCATTTCGACGATATTATTTCACGGACAAATAGACTAAAAGTTAGGTCATGAAATTTCAGTTTTTTTCGAGAAGAAGAAAGTCTCCCAAATGTTGAGATAATCAAACAAAAGAGTGAACATTCATCTAGAAAAAATCTCGTGAACGTGATGTCGTTAATATTAAGAATTCGATGTACACCTAATGTTTCCAACAACTTCCATTTTTCACAACGCGAAAAGATCGTCGCCATTGTAAAGCATAGAGCGAGGATCCAAACATGGTGTGACATTGTGACCCATACGCCCACTGGTCGAGCTCGCGCTCGAGTATGGCCTGTTTAATATTCATAAGTCTTTCATTGCGCAAATAGCGCGTTCTATACAACGCCTGAATAAATCCCCGTCATCTGAATGGTGAACTGTAGATCACGTGACATATTATTATTCGGTATAATGCACGGTGCGACCATGCTTTATACCCACGCGTTATACCGTTTCACTTTGCGCATGCGCAGTAAGGACGAATGCCTTCGACTGGCGGCGCTATACACATAGCTACTTTGCGTAAACAAACAAAATGGCAGGCGATTGTAGTAGAGGGTTTATGCTCCTTACCGATGCTTCGCCTCGTGGAACAGAACATTCAAATGGCGAGAATTTATTCAAGTGTTGTATATAACAAATAACGAATGTTTTACGTTCGTGCGATGGTAAGAATAATTTCATTCGGTGACAGATTGAATGTTCTATTCCACACGGCTTCGCCTCGTGGAATAGAACATTCAATCTGTCACCGAATGAAATTATTCTTACCATCGCACGAACGTAAAACATTCGTTATTTGTATACTATTCACAATGTTTTCAGACCATGCAGGCAAAAGTACGTCGGCATATGGTTTACACGTGTACATTGTGATTGCAAATCATGAAATCTCGCAAAAGCCTTCATTTTCCAACCGGCGATTTGGACCAAACATTAGAAGTCTCCTGCACGTGTTTCACATGAAAATAAAGCGTATACTTTCCTCTATCTACTAAGCCTTGCCATTTGTTTCGGCCTTTTTAAAAAATCGAATGTACACCTAAAAACTATCGGCCCTCGATTTTGTTGATAAAAAATATGATTTTGTTTGACAGGCCATAACAACACTTTATATTTGTCAAAAGCATTTATTTTCGTTATCAAAATAAAACACACGATTTCAACCTTTCACTTATTTAGCCATCTTGGCCAAACAGTGCATGTGTCGAGACACTTTTTGTATTTTTCTGTAGTCTCGAATAAATCTCGTAAAATCTCGCGTACGCTTTTTGGCCATGCGTGCGAAAAACTGAGGTCAAACAGGGCTGTGTGCGTGACACGGCTACTGACTGTTATGGACGTGTTTAGAACGGAATAAAAGAAAACACAACTAGAGGTCTATGTCTGTTTGAAAACAGAACATAGGGCTTTTTCACATTTTACACAAGTTTATGTTTTGTTGGTCCTTTTACAGTCACAATTTAGAGTACTTCATGCAGTTAATGGTTGTTCAAAATCCTTAGAATAATTCCTAAAATATAATTTTATCACATGACGTCACATGCCCTACGACGACGTCATTTTGACATCACTTGTCAATGCACATTTTGTTTTTGTAGTCTTGTTTTGTACCAAGTTTAAAGTCAATCCAATGAAAGGAAGTGCACAATTTTGGAAGCGGAATGACGTTGTAAATTAAAAAAAACCTTAAAAATCAACCGATTACGTCATCGTAACGTCACTTCGGATTTTGAATACTAGTACTATTATCTAGCCACCCACCTAGTTTAATGACGATCGGGCCTTTCTATAAATGTGTTTGGAAAAGTCGCATTTTTGATGACGTCATGATAACGTCACACATTTTCAATGATGAAAGTCTACAACTGTGTTAAAAACTAAAAAGAGTATCAAAAACAGTATAAAACAGAAATCAACCAAACCTATACCCGTAGTTATGTTGGTGTGTGTTGAGTCTTGAACGAAAATGCAGTTTTTGTAATAATTGTCGGCTGTCACATCTGCCTCTTCTTCTTCTTTTTTCTGCTCGTCTGTGCGACCTATTTAAAAAAAAAAGCATTTATAAATTTGAAAATAAATCAGAGCATTGTGTCAATTTGAAATGTCCCTATAACGTGTAGCTCTTTTAGAATGAAACTTGAACAAAAACTGCAAATGAGAAAGCCATATTAAAGACTAGAGGTTCGCGTTCGTTGAGTTTCAAACGTAGAGTGGTTGGGCAGACAACTATTTCATTAAACATTAAACATTTTTATGTACACGTACAAGTAATTTCTGGTTTGATGACTTCATCAGTAAAAAACGGGAAGTGAATACTGATTCAGTTCAGAGAGGATAAACAATCATTGTGAAGTTTAAATAACGTATGAAAATATGGAAAATATAAGTGTATGTATAAATAACACCTAACTTCCGGTTTGATGACGTCGCAGGATCAGAGATCCAAAGGTCAACATTGTAATGGATATCATTATTTGGGCTACGAAGATAAGACATTTGTAATTTGTGCATTTTGTTCGTTTGAACCAACAAAAGTGCTAAAAATCTAAAGAAGGGTGCTGAACAACTAGCCTGACTAAGTTTCAGCTCAGCTTCAGCTGTATATTCCGAGAAAAACAGCATTCTAAGATCTCAATTTCAAATCAAATGTTGCTGAATCATGTTTTGAATTGGGCCTCAATTCAGCGTCCGAGACACGTTCTCACTGAGCCGATTCGCTCGTACCCCCGCCCTGCAAACAAGACGCTGGGATACTCTGACGAGCTTCACAGAATCTTGTGAAGGAAGTGGCCTATGACCTATGTATAAAGCATCTGGCTGCAGCTGTTCAAGACCGCAGTTAGACAATGTGCGCAAATGCTATCCGAAAACTTCCTATAGAATTGCGCACATTCCATACCGGATGTGATTTCTGTTTCATTGCGGACCATGTGGACAAAATTTTCAGCGTCGCATAATGCACTCCGACCGTTCGTGATTCGAAAACGGAGCCTGAGCGAGTGACGGGAATTGTAAATTTACAACACATATAAGTTTTACAGAATTTTCTACATTATTATATACGCTTTTCAACGAGAAAAACCATCTCTAAACTGGAATAAAAGAGTAATGAATCAGTTTTAAGGGCCGTTTCAAACCTTGCAGAGTCATGACCTTGATGACGCGCAGGTCACTGGTCACGCAAAATCCAACCAATCAGAGCGTGAATTCATCAGAGTATCCCAGTGCCCTGTTTGCAGGGCGGGGGGTACGAGCGAAACTGAGCCGATTGCAGCTACGCGATGTCGCGCACTGATCCGACCTGATTCGACACTGATTACACTGTAAACACGATGGGCAAAATGGGTTGATATAGTGGGGGGGGGGGGGGGGGGGGGGGCAATGTACGTCTGTTGGCATGTCATGTTAATTTATGGCAACCATTATAAATGTAATCTTAGTCCTGTGAACAAGAAAATTGATGTTGCCATTTTTTTCCATTGACCTTTAGTGACCTTGACCTGAGGTCGAAGTTCATGGGTCATTTTCACCTAAAATTTGCCTTTCGGAAGGGTTTGCGAAGATTTTCGAGGCAAGTGAGCACATTATTGTATTTGGTTGAGAGTTTCTCCATTAAAATAAATGTTATTATTAATGTATTTATGGGGTTTCCTGAAGAAAACATGGGAAAACGTCACTTTTGCCCGAAAAGGGCAGGGTTGTTTTGACCATCTCACGCAGATTCCGCCCCCCCCCCCATGACCTCGGCCATCGAGTGACGAAAAATTATGAAACTCGGTACATGCATAGAACAACAGAACATGAACAAACCCAAGAAATTTCATGACTATGGGTTAAAGGGTTTTGGAACTACGGCTAATTAATTATTCATAAGAACGTATGGTTATTCAAATGTGTACACTACGTATATGGGGAAATTCAGTTTTGACGGAGGGTAGCGCTGAAAATTTTTAGCTGCGCGGCAACCTGTGGTTCCAATTTTATCTTTTGGGTATCAAAAGATGTGCAAGACTCGAGGCTAAAAGGTCAGGACAGCTCAGGCCGCGAAATAAATAACTTTTCAAGAGTATCGCGAAAAAAGTTGAAAGGGGAAAAATCTGCCCCCTTTTAGGGCCAAAATATGACCAACCCTTTAGTGCCTGGCATCTAAATATGAAATGTTGTAAAGTGTCCTCTGCAGTACCGCACTCGCACAGGGTGTTTGTCGGTTGAGGAAAATCCCGACTTCTTCATGGTGCTTTTGGTGCGAGCCACTGCAGAGCGGAGGTGATTTAAGCACCTCCAGGTCTTCCATCATAATGCCACCGCCACAATCCACAAAACAGCCCAAGACACGCATAATTATTGGGGATTTAACAGCCACAGCAGCATCATTGGCTATCATTCCAGCACAGACGTCGACGCTTTTGAATCGCTGGCCGAAGCAAGTCAACTGAGCCTTATTCACAATCAGGCATGCAACTTTTCCTCGGATCAGCGGATTTCCTCTTTTTTTATTCTCATTTCTGCCATTCAAAATTGAAAATCACTGTACAAAGTCTTCTGAATTTAGGAATTTCCTCTTTTTTGGTGAGTTTACAGTTGCATGCCTGCACAATGCGAAACTGTCGAAGTTTTTCCACAGTGGAGGCTGGAGATAAAGTTTCAACCCTGCTCTAGCCCTTGTGAGCCACAACATCGCCTCACTTAGCAACAAGATGGTCCTTGACCCCATTCCAAAGACCCGACATCGCCCTATTGGAATCAAAGTGACTGCTGCTGTCTCTTCGCAACAATTCCATTCCACCACTGTTTCAACTTAGTAAGGCCAACTGTGAAGGCTTCACCAATGAGCTCAAACACCATCTAGCTGACATTGGTCCAACCCCTGATAACTATGACACCGGTTTGTTGATGTGGTGGTGCAAGAACATCCCTACGGGCTGCTGCACTGATTACAACCCAGGCTTAGCATCCCGTAGTGCTGAACTTTACAGGAAATAGAACGCATGTATGACAACGACTCTCTTGCTGTCGATACCTCATCTGGGGAGGAATTAATAACAGCCATATCAGAACAGCTTCAAAGCTTGTGGCAAACCCTTGTGGTAACCACCAATATGGCCGAAAAGCCAATATGGCCTCCAAGCCTGGAGTATAATATAAAAAAAAGCTCAGCCAAGTGAACAGCATTGTAACATCACCGCCAACCAAATAGCCCAAAACAACTGCTTTTTAAATGGTAAAGTGCCACGTTCTCCTAATAAGCGACCGAAAGCCAAGCTCCGCAAGAAAGACCCCGCCATCGACCTAATTGGCTTCATCAAATCCTTCTCTGCTAATGAACTTGCGACTGGCATAAATAAAGAACAGGAAATTAACCAAACTGGATAACATTCTCACCAAAGAACTGAAACATCTTGGACCAAACGCCTCAAATTGGTTACTCCAGCTCATCAACACCTGCCTCGCCACACAAACAATGCCTAAAGTGTGGCAAAAGTCGAAGGTCATCGCCCTCCTAAAACCCGGGAAAGACCCAATGCATGTCAAAACTCGTCCCAAAGTCACACATTCAAGTTGCTTGAACATTTTCTCCTCAACCTTCTTGCCTCTTCATTGAGAAACAACTGAGACAGGAACAGGCAGGCAGGCTTCCGTCCCGGCAAATCTACAACGGGACAGCTTTTAAACCTCACTCAGTACATTAAGGACTGCTTCCATCAGAAAAAAATAGATCACCGGCGCTGTCTTTGTTGATCTTACAGCTGCGTTTGACAGTGTTAACTGTTGCTGACTCCTTCAGAAGATCCTGGACATGACGGCAGACCTGACCCTTACCCAGTTTATTGGAGTTCTACCGAAGAACCATCGTTTCTTTGTTGTATTCAAAGGCAGAGTAGAGTACGTCTTCAAAGGAACGGTCCCACAAGGGAAGACGTTGACCGATGCTCTTGACCAGTCACAGCAGTGCTACACTCTGAGTCACCTGAAAGCGATCAACCCTACTATTAAGACCCAAGTGTGTGCCTCCTGGGTTGACCAGGCTGGTGGCGTCTCCCCCACTACATGAGATGCCAATCAAGCCTGCAGAAGCCTTACCTACAGGATCCAATGCAGGATGGAATACCTGGAGGTGCTTAAATCACCTCCGCTCTGGAGTGGCTCGCAACAAAAGAAGTGGGGATTGTCCTCAACCGACAAACACCCTGAGTGAGTGTGGTACTGCAGAGGACACTTTACAACATTTCATATTTAGATGCCAGGCACTAAAGGGTTGGTCATATTTTGGCCCAAAAGGGGGGGGGGGGCGGATTTTCCCTCTTTCAACTTTTTCCGCGATACTCTTGAAAAAAATATATATTTCACGGCCTGAGCTGTCCTGACTTTTTAGCCTCGAGTCTTGCACATCTTTTGATACCAAAAACATAAAATTCGAACCACAGGTTGCCGCGCAGCGAAATATTTTCGGCGCTACCCTCCGTCAAAACCGAATTTCCCCATATACGTAGTGTACACATTTGAATTACCATACGTGCTTATGAATAATTAATTAGCCGTAATTCCAAAACCCTTTAACCCATAGTCATAAAATTTCTTGGGTATGTTCATGTTATGTTGTTCTATGCATGTACCAAGTTTCATAATTTTTCGTCACTCGATGGCCGAGGTCATGGGGGGGGGGGGCGGAATCTGCGTGAGATGGTCAAAACAACCCTGCCCTTTTCGGGCAAAAGTGACATTTTCCCATGTTTTCTTCAGGAAAATCCATAAATACATTAATAATAACATTTATTATAATGGAGACACTCTCAACCAAATACAATATGTGCTCACTTGCCTCGAAAATCTTCGCAAACCCTTCCGAAAGGCAAATTTTAGGTGAAAATGACCCATGAACTTTGACCTCAGGGCAATGTCACTAAAGGTCAATGGAAAAAATGGCAACATCAATTTTCTTGTTCTCATGACTCATAAGATTACAATGGTTGCAATAAATTAACATGAAATTTCGACGGGAACCCAAATCTGCACATTGGCCCCCCTACTAATTTATAGACCAACGTTGGTCAACATATTAACAGGTTAAACCCTTGGGCAAATTCTTCCCAATTGTTGGCAAATTCTTACCCACATTGGGTAATTTCAAACCAATGTTGGGTAACATTTTATTGCCCAACAGTGTTTTACCCATTATTTTTTTTACTGTGTATAGCAACCGCGCGTGCGTGTGCGTGGTGCCAATGCTTGCGCGCGCTTCGCCGAATAACAAAACGAACTACTAATTCAAATTTCCTAATGTGCGTCTTAAGAAGCACCGTTGGAAAATCTTCTTTCGTTGATTACTAAGGAAATAAATGTGTGTTTGGGAGGTATTATACACTCTGTTTAAGACCGGTTTGAGTCTGGATGGGCGATAATTACCCCCATTCATAAATACCTTTTCGGTCCAAAAATAATTTTTTTCCCCCAAAACTAGACGTTTGGTTGCCAACCAATTTGTTAGTCTGGTTCCCCGACCTGACAATTTCGCCCGACGTCTACACGTCTAAATTGTAGGTCAGGCAGCCTCCGTGGCTAAAAATAAACATGACGACATTGACGGCCCTTTTTCAAAGCTCGACTTCGTTTCCGAATTCGCTTTATCACATAAAGCTTTTAATGTTCCGATAATTTTTTAAAAAATAAATCACTTGCTTTATATATCATACAGTTATGATATACAGTTTAATACTTCTGTAAAAACATTGACTAATTTTAACCTGGAATCTTCAAAGTTGGACACCCAAACAGCCCTATTAGCAGGCGGAGCCGAATTGAGACCACGCCGCGTTTTGGAAAATGCCGGTAACGGTCGTCAAATTCAAACTAGTGCATGACGCAGCAAAAAGTTCGCCCCTCGTATACGATCCGAGTGCAAAAATCGTCGTTGAATTTCAAGTTTTCTAAATAAAAGCAATGGATATTAATTATCAACTAGTTTTTTTAAGTTTTTAATAAGCAATTAGCAGTTAATAAAACCTATATTATACTCGGAAATACTCGGACACTATCCGATTGTCGACGAAATGAATTCGGCAAACTTCGGACAGTTTCGGAAAAAGGAGGAATTCCTCCCGTTTTAGTCACGTGATGTAAATTGTAATACATTGTATTACCGGAGGCTACCCAACCTCGTCCCCAGTGCTTACTTTATTTCCAACCGCGTTTCCAATAGTAAACCCTGGATAGGAAACTTTCTTACTGTATCCTGATTGGATACCGCAATTGGCTAGTAATGAATTTTTATCGTGTACTTGGTGCTATATTATTCACAACGTGCAGTACGTGTTTTCGCGATCATTCATCCACGCCTTCTCGAAAATACTAATTTCCTTTCCAGTTTGTTCATATTAAAATGAAATGTGATACTGCATGTTGTCTCGATAAGATCGTAACAGTTTAATTTAAAAAAATCGTGTTTTCGTAACTCACGCCGTGCTCGTGCTGCGACGAATTGACTCTGTTTTTACCCCAGACACCGCATACAAAAACAAAAGCTAATGTAAAGCATATCCAAGGCACCACACTATTCCTCATTTGCATACGTGTGCAAAAATCTTGCACATGCAAATGATCCAATACCAGGGTGAGAGAGCAGGTAGTGATGGGCGCGTACTGTTCGACACCCTGGGGACGAGGTTGGAGGCTACCTGACCTAAGATTCATCGGGAATAGTCGGAATCTTTTGGTCTGGGAACCAGACTACCAATTTGTTCAACAATTTTACATCATGTTTTACGGAACACCCCTCTGACTATAATATGGAATGCCCCTCCACAACTCGTTACCTTAAAGGGACATTGGCGTGCGCGTACTGCGCGATGACGCGCAAAAAGGCAGCTGGGCTGGTGAAGTGTGAATTTTGGACCATGAAATACCAACCTCGTGCCCCGAGGGTACGATCGTGCAGCGCCATGTTGTTTCCCATCATGCCTTATGCGATCGTAACCCCCGATTTACCCCCCCCAATATTTTGTAAAGACTGCCTTTTCCCATTCAAATGCCCTTTTTTTCAACAGGCTTATTCCCCCCCCAATAATTTGTAAAGAGTGGTAGCCTGGTGGTTTTTATTCAACATTTTTTCAGAATTGTACATAAACTGACTTATCCTTCGTACCGTACTGTGCGTCCCAAAATATCCGCAACTTTTTGGGCGAGGCTTATAGCGTCGGCGCGGAAACACGTATCGCGATTATTTTTGTACCATTTTAAAGCCTGAACCTTAAATTTGGCCCTGACGATTGTTGTTAGACATTTGAAAGAGTTTTAAGTTTTTCTTGTTTGAATAAAGGCATGTCTAAAACAAACTCAACCGATTTTAAGGAAAATCGATGATGCAGAACATCAGATGCAAACTCGACAAGCTGTTGAAATAAACCAAGAAAAAAAAACCAGTTGATTTATATTAAAAACACATTGAACTTGAAACGAGGAACAGTAATTATTTAAGGTGAAGTCTACGTAGATAGAAAAAAAAGGAAATACAGAAAGTAAAGGGCAACGACATCGTCATATTATGATTACTAGGGATAAACAACATTTGCAAACATCGAAAAATAAAACTACCAAGTTTTTACGAAATACCTTACTTGGATGTTGGTAAATGACAGTCTAAAGCATCATGTAAAATCATGGCACCTGGTGTTCAGTCCTTTTTAAGAAAAGTGGTATTTTGTATACATTTCCAACCATGGTCGGCCGACCACCATTGGAAAAACCTATTTTTCAACTACTGCTCCAAATTTACCATTTGTTGCAGTCCAAATTTTGTTTGCTATTGGTCACATGTTCATGAACAGGTACAGGCCAGCTAGACTGGATCCCTTACCTTATAATTTTTCGGCATCTATAAATTGAACCATTTTATTTTAATTGGAGTCAGGGAGACTACTTGAGCATATTTGTTTTTCTTGGTTTTTCCAGCATTTTCGAACACAAAACTTCAAATATGTCAATGTAACAATATTTGATCTGCTATACTAACCACCTAAATAGTTCATTTCTGAAAATTACAGCAAAAGCCAATGGTGTACATTCCCTCATTTCCACATTAGAAAATATGCGCATGATTGATTTGCAATCGGGTCAACATGCCTTTATTTCAAAACAAATAATTTCGAAACCCTTCTGAAAATCAAAGCAATAATAACCAGGCATAAAGTTAAGATTCCAAGCTTTAAAATGATACAAAAATAATTGCGGTACGTATTTCCGAGGCGACGCTAGATTGTCGCCAATAAAATGTCGCCAACAAAATGTTGGGACGCGCTGATAACTATATAAGCGCAAAGTCCTATCCAATCTATAATGGAGATCAATAATAAACTAGAAATGTGTTTGTGGACAAACACAAGCTGTTTCGGATATTTGAAATAC